ACAGCAGACGTTATATAATGTCACTATGTAAGATAGCTATTTGACACAAGACAGCAGACGTTATATAATGTCACTATAAAAGTTATCTATTTATATGAAGTAGAGAAAATCAATATATATTATAATTATATATTCATCAATTGATATAGGACTAATTATACAAACTATTGTATACTGGTTAGATGTCTGGATGGACTGAGACTGAACGATGTAACAGTTTATAAACTATTGTCTACTGGTTAGATGTCTGGATGAACTGAGACTGAACGATGTAACAGTTTATAAACTATTGTCTACTGGTTAGATGTCTGGATGAACTGAGACTGAACGATGTAACAGTTTATAAACTATTGTCTACTGGTTAGATGTCTGGATGAACTGAGACTGAACGATGTAACAGTTTATAAACTATTGTCTACTGGTTAGATGTCTGGATGAACTGAGACTGAACGATGTAACAGTGGTTGTTTTAAACATTACAATTAAAGTTAAATGACGAGTCTACTTAGACTATAAAATATTGACACCTTTTAATAATACTATCATATCATCTAAACTTCAAATCAGCTTTTAGACAAGGAAGAGAATTTTATTAGTAGGCTACTGTTGTTTTACACCTATCAATTATTGACATGTTTGTTTTCTATTAGAGAATAGATAATACCTGAAGTACATGCTCTCTCTCTCTCTCAGTGTAAATTGTTTTCTATTAGAGAATAGATAATACCTGAAGTACATGCTCTCTCTCTCTCTCAGTGTAAATTGTTTTCTATTAGAGAATAGATAATACCTGAAGTACCTGCTCTCTCTCTCTCTCTCAGTGTAAAGTGTATAATGATGTCAACTGGAATTCTACTAGCACTTTGAGGAGATTGTTATTAGTGATACTTGTTTTAAAATAAACGTTTCAATATTTCCCAGTTTTTTAATGATACTTTATTACTGATATCATACTGTAATAGTAAAGATAAAAGGCTATCGTTAAGTTGTCAGATATTGTAAAACAGTTTTCAAATCTCATTGTTTCGTCTTCAGTTAGATATTGATATAGCACTTTAAGACTTGAAACGTTAAGCGACTCAATAATGGACGAAACCATTAAATTCTTGCAACCTGAAACCAACAATTTAAATATGAGGTATGAAAAACTTAAAGTTATCTAGCTGCTCTTTGATTCTGATAATTGTTTTAAAACAAGGAAATAGGCCCCTCTCATTTATTCAGTCAGTCAGTCAGTCATATGTTCATTTCATCCATTTATTCGTTCGTCCGTTTCTTCCATTCACCCTTGCATCCCTTCATATGTACGATTCATTCATTCATTCATTCATTTATTCAAACTACATGTAAAGATATGATATACCTATAATAAAACACGCACTGTAATATATGATGTAAGATTGTTAAAATAAAGATAGTGACAGATAAAGATAAGACAAGAACATCTTACAGATTATTTACAGAAGTTATAAATTTGTCATTATTCATAAAAAGATATATTTTTGATAGTTTTAGTTGCAAGTCAGTGAGAAAACTTTATAAATATATAAAATATCAGAAAATAGTAATAAAAACAGTTGTGGGTAAAATTAAACTAGAGGTTGGATTCTATTTCTAAAAATAAAAATCTAGACGACTATATACTCGATTCTTATCGAGTTTTAACTTTATTTTTCGAACCTTTTGGGGTGAATTTTGTGTATTAATTGAAGAGACCAAAAAAAAAGATTGGATAGAATGTCAAGACTAATATAGGTAGCATCACTCTCGCTTGACACCTTCTGTGTAGGTCCAATGATCAGATGGTAGACAGGATCCCCGTGAAACTTGGTCGTGATCAATGCGAAGAGGTTTGACTAATGACGAGATCTAAAAGGATCCTTGTAAACCTCAAATGTTATCTTTGTAAAATATTAGTTTCTATTTATTTGGGTTAACATGTATGTTTTAATTATTGTGATGTATGTAAATATTAAAAAAAAACATCCAACTTTAAAAATATCGCATCATTTGATTGATTGTAAAAATGACATGTTCCAACTTCCGGTAAAACATGGGTTCAATAAGGTCATAAAAATATTGCTCTACCTTATTTTAGTTTCTTCAATAATATGTGCTGATTCGCTAATCCTGACCGACTTCCGGGACGGGGACTTGTCCTTGTTTTCCTCGGGGGTGAGGAGCGTATTGTCACCCATCGTGGTCACTATAGTACACTAGAACATGTAGACACTTTTAATATATAATAATAGAACTGATATCCAGGATATTCTTCGTGAGTCAATATCCACAAGAACAGGATCCTTTCGTGAGTCAAAATATCCAAACGACAAGATCCTTGTCAGAATATCCAAACGACAAGATCCCGATAATAATCCAATGGTATCACATAATCCGTCACTTATTGACTATATATGACGAGAGAGTAAGATATATCCCGGGGAATACAGTCAATATAGGCCTATATCTACAGGTGGTATATCACACCTGAATACGTCATCAACTACCTGTATATATATATATAGATATAAACCTATTAAACTATTATAACTGTAAAACAACGGCTGTCATATCTCTGTCACTACAGTTACAACCACGTATTTTTTACAGGTATTTTATTTTTAAACAAAGTGATAAATCGATTGAACTTTCCTAGATACAGTTTTAAGAAGATTTTTTCTTTTTTGATATGTTCAACGTATAGATTCAAACTTTATATATAATTTATTGTCTGTCATCAACTAAGGAAATTTTCATTAAATGATTTCTACCCAAGTCTAAAAATAAACTGATTGAATAATCCACTAGACTTTTCACAGTATATTTGTCAGGACTTGTCTAAGTATGAAGTATTTCAAATAATAGATTTCTTCAATAGAGTCTCATTCATATACACATAATTACACAATGAATTTTCAAAACAAACCGATAAGACAAGACGTTTCACTGTCACAGCAATATACTTTCAAAAATTGACAATTGGCTTTCGTTATTTTACTTTGACTTTAAAACAAACCGATAAGTTAATCCGACATCAATGGCCAAAATTTTCAACATGCTTATAGAGTATATTATTTAAAACCAACCGATAAGTCGAACCAAACCACTCTTTAAACGCATAATCCAAAAACATACACAAGTACAAGAGAACGAAGTAAAACCATTGAAATAAGATAACAGTTGGAATCTGAGTTAACTAATTGAGTTTATCCCCCGTTTTCCACAAATCCTCTTTAAACCATAGATTACATTATTCTGTTAGCTGACTGACACTAACTCGATAGTAAAAGTAGAGAAGAAAAGCTATCACATAATATCAGACATACAGTTGAAGAAATCGATGAAATTAAACGTATTCGAGTCTCCAGTTATTACGGTTCCATATTAGTACACTACGTATTCAGGACGTTTTATATCCACGGACTGAAGAACACTCGTGGTACAATCCAAGTCAATTTCTTTCTCTTTTCGTTCAGAGAAGATGCATCGAATGCGTGATTATTCCTGGCTTAATGGATACTTGTATGGTGAACACAACATCTGCGACTTGAAACGAACTCATCAATAATCTGTAATTCTATCTCCTATCGATCTCACTGAAACAATCCCGATACATCGTGTAGACTGTAGAATTCTAACAGCGGACATGAAACTTTAATGTGGTCATGAACTCTGGATTCCCTCATGACCTCGGATAATTTTAATCTTCGCATATTCTAGAGGAGCTAACTGATATTAACTTATCCCATGTGACATTGGCATTACTCAGTCGGGAAGAGTTGTATTGTTATCGTCAGTTTCAAAGCCTCCTCAAGGCTGAAAGTCGACCCGGTGCATGATGACCAATATACTTCTGTCACAGCGACCAACTTTTAAAGCTCTTATCGTTCTCAAACTCTGTGATTTTCGATTTACATCACTTGACAACTCGCATTTAAACCCTGTATTTCTGTATTTCTCAGTTCTGTATTTCTGTATTTCAAAGTTCTGTATTTCTGTATTTCTGCCAATCAAGGATTATTTACAACGATTTCTGTCGTCAAATGAATTTACCTCAATAGTAAAAATCGTACAAATACATTATGTGACTTAGACGCTCTGTAAATCAGTGGTTATTCTGTTATTCCATGGTTGCCTCACCCTGAAAACATTTTACTTACATCATACTATATAGTATGCATAGTCACTTTGTAACCCACTGGAACACAGTGGTTCTGTATATTCAGTAATCGATGATCACCTATTACGATTAATATCTATACAGTAAAGTGGTTCTCTAACAAGAAGTAACAACTAGTAACACCGGGAAATACCAAATACAACAGTGTCATATAACACTAGAAATTGGCACTTTCTAATGTTAACATGTGCACAGTTCTGGCACCAACACAACTTTCAGCCTACACACGTAATTTATCAGAGCCTAATTCGATACACTGAAATTCCTAGATAGGTCACAAGATGGTGGGTTGGAATATTTCCCTGTCTTTGTATGGTTTATAGTAGGGTTCTTACGCCTATCTCCAGACTGTTTGGTTGTGTTGAGGTAAACTTTATCGTGACAGTTCTGGATTTGTAGATCATTCCAACTTGAATCAAATGATTTCGGGCAGCGGTACGTAACAGTATCCGCGTGTCAACCACATATCATCTTTAAAAGCTGTTACCTTCATAGTGAAAGGACAGTATCATTTACAACTTTTAATTTCCCAAGCTTCGTAACCTAAAGTTTTTTATAAATAGAATTAAAAGCGACGTCTAAGTGCAGTAAGTTTTGACACATATTTTTGACCATTTTGCTCCACAAACCTCGAGATTCCAATCTAAGATAAGATCATTGTTAATCTTACTAGATGCCATGTCACATGACCTATAAAACTATATCTTTATTCTGTTCCCCTCATAACTTTATAGATTGTGAAATTAAACTAATACATGGATTTTAACCGTTAATACAAAAAAATCAGGAAGCAACTGACAAGCAGTACAGTCCATTCAAAATGTTGACGAAATTAACGTTGGTTTTCCTCAGTTTCGCTGTTCAACTGACGCTTCAAGACTACCCATTCAGGAATACATCGTTACCATGGGAGGCTCGAGTAGATGATTTGATTTCAAGGATCACGCTGGACGAGATCGTTCAACAGATGTATAAAGGAGGCGGGGGACCTCATAACGGCCCTGCCCCGCCCATAAAACGTCTGGGTATCGGACCTTTCCAGTGGGATACAGAGTGTCAACATGGTATGAATGAACAGAACGGAACATCCTTCATGCAAGACATCGGTTTCGGAGCATCTTTCAGCAGGGAGATGGTACGGAAGGCCGCTGCGGCTACGTCTATAGAAGTTCGCGCTATCAATAAAATGTACGCTGAGAAAGGGTATTATTTGGATCATACTGGAATCAGCTGTTTAAATCCCATCAGCAGTTTAATGCGAGATCCTCGGTGGGGACGCAGCCAGGAGACCTACGGTGAGGACCCCTTTCTGTCTGGTCAGTTGGGCCAAGAGAACATCCGAGGTCAACACGGCGAGCATCCGAGATATATCCGTACCAGCACTACTTGTATGTGGTTTGATGTACATGGCGGACCGGAAAACATCCCAGAGTCCCGATTTTCATTCAATGCAGTGGTTAGTGAAAGAGATTGGAGAACAACTTTCCTACCAGCGTTCAGATACTGCATCAAGGGCGGGTCCGACTCCATTATGTGTAGCTATAACAGCATTAACGGCGTTCCGACTTGTGCTAACAAAAAGTTACTGACTGATATTCTGAGGAACGAGTGGGGGTTCAGTGGTTATGTCATCACAGATCAAAACGCAGCAGAAAACATCATCGCCACGCATCATTATCTTAATAACAGTATTGACGCCGCAGTCGCAGCCGTAGACGCAGGAGTCAATCTAGAGATAGTAGCAGATTATATCAAAAACCCAGTGTTAAAATCCATCACTGATGCGATCAATCAGGGGAAATTAACCGAGGACTTGGTCCGAGAAAGGGTGAAGCCAATGTTCTACACTAGAATGAGGCTGGGTGAATTCGACCCCCCAGAAATGAACCCCTTCTCTCTCATCAACACGTCTGTAATCGAATCAGCCAATCATCAAGCTTTGGGTTTAGAAGCAGCCATGAAATCTTTCGTGCTTTTGAAAAATGACGGAGTTCTTCCTTTTGGATCCACAAAATTCAACGCCGCTGCTCTGGTCGGTCCACTTGCTGATAATAAAAATTTCCGGTGATTATTATTCTACCCCTGGGTTCAATTTCATCTCCACACCGCGTGACGCTTTCCACAGTCTAGCAGCCGACTTCCGGTTTGCTGCCGGATGTTCCACTCCAGCCTGTGGTCAGTATAACTCCAGTGCTGTTAAAGACGCCGTTGCCAATACTGATGTCGTGTTCGTGTGTTTCGGATTAGGGAATCATCTGGAGAAAGAGAACATTGATAGATATGACCTGGAACTCCCAGGAAAACAACAACAACTTCTTGAAGATGTCGTCCAGTATTCTGGATCAGCAAAGATAGTTCTCATCACCTTCAACGCTAACCCGACCAATATCAAATGGGCTGAGGAAAATAATCGAATTTCCGCCATTATAGCTGCATTTTACCCAGCACAGGCGGCCGGAAATGCACTCAGAGCTGTTATGACTTCATCAACCACTCCACAGTTTGGTCGTCTGCCCTACACGTGGTATTATTCCGCCGATCAAGTTCCCGCAATGACGAACTACTCCATGGAAGGACGCACGTACAGATATTTCAAAGAAGAACCACTCTATCCTTTTGGATACGGTCTGACGTATACGCAGTTCTTTTACGATTATTTTGAAGCTCCTGACATAGTACATGCCGGAGAGGAACTACATGGTGTCGTGAATGTAGAAAATGTCGGGACTCTGCCTGGCGACGAAGTTATTCAAATCTATCTCTCGTGGAACAACCCGAGTGAAACATCACCGCAAATACAACTTGTAGCGTTTGAAAGATTCAGCATTGATTATGGGGCGACCAAGACTTATAAATTCAGCATCTCGCCCGAGAACATGGCTATCTGGACGGATGATCGGGGCTGGGTTGTTGAAGAGGGTAATGTTACTATTTATGCTGGTGGACAACAACCCAATCAGAAAAAATCAGTAGGATCCAACGTGTTATCGAGAACTGTTAAAATATTGGGCTATAAAAATCTGGGATATTATTAATTTGGTGGATGTATCAGATAAGAGTTGTTTTGTGGCAAGCTTTAAACTGTCAAGAACTGTGAGATCAGTCATTTCTCATAATATTCATTAAGCTTCTTAATATAGACTACGGGTTTTTGTTGACATTTAAAAGTTGTGGGTTTCGGATTGCTTCTTGCTATCCTTATTTACTTAAAATAACAATAAAAAATATTTTGTACAATTTCAATAGTTAACAATGCGACGTTTCGATGATGATACTCTCGTGTTTATCAAACTAGCTGTTATCCAGGGAATGTGCTGTGTTCAGTATAGTCTGTTCCTAGGGGAAATTATTAATTAGCACAATTGTATCAGAGCAACCTTACCCTTAAGTTTTTAACCAAACGAAACAGACCAACCATCAAAACGATGAGATATCGTGATGTAGATCTATAACAAGGGTCACTGTATAATGAGGTCTCGTAAAAATCAGGTAATTTATAATAAAGATCTATAAATCTATCAATTGATATCGTTTAATAGACATAAACCCTCAACAGATTTCACCTTGTCGTTTATTGTCCTGATAGATAGATCACAAGATGGTCTGTTTCCAATCAGATCAACTGGAGTTAAATGTCCTACTTTGTATAATCAAGGATATAATTCGTAGTACCCTGTTCAATATTTGCCTAATTATGAAAGGTTTTGCTAGTTATAAGGAAGTGTTCATCCTCTGAAACACCTGCTGCAAATTGGAATCCTTTTCAGAGAGTCTGCATAACTAAACATATTGATTTGATAGGCCAAATGTGTCTTTGTTCTTGTAAAATGTCGGTAATTTCGGGGTCAGTCTATTATAATATCATTAAGTTATATTGAACTAACGAGACATGGTGATGACGCCATTAAAACTTTCTGTCAAATTAAACTATAAAGGAAAAGACGTGATGTGGCTAGAATTCAGGTAATTATCTGATATAACGGTGTGAATAATTATCAACTCTAATTAATTAATTAATGATTAAATCATTAGATATAATATAGGTAGAGAACGAGGTCAGACGACAGGTGATGTTATAAGTCATTACTAACTAGATAGAAATAAGAAAACGGTTATGGATGGGTAGAAAATAATCGGCATAAAGATTCCTGTCTGTTAATTGAAAGGCATCTTCACAATTGAAACTTCGTCTTATACCTTGACTGCAATAGTCACTTTTCTTGTGTCACAATAAATGCAGCGATTTGATTGGCTTATACAGCCGATCAGAGGCCTCGACAGAAAGTCTAAATGATGCATTTACACCTTTTAGTGAAACAAGAAAAGTGATTATTGCAGTCAAGGTATAGAGTATGTAGAGTAAGTGTATTAAGAATAGAGTATATTTTAGTTTGTTTATAGTTATTTATAGTAAACTATGTAAGTAAAATATCTGTTGTTACACCACACTAAGTCAAGTTAACTGATCATAATATCAGATTGTTCTGCCAACTTCACAGCTTGTCAGAATATATCTAGAACATTTCTACCTATTTGTACTCTAATATATTATAACATCAGGTGTTCCTGGAAGATTTTTGTCATGTTTTAGTTAATTCAATAATTTATTTCCTATAGAACTGTTACAGACTTTATTACTCGTATTTAAATAGAAAATATGAAATGAAGTATACAATTCATAATTTATCATATATTCCCTTTTCCTTCTAAAATTTGATCTCAAACCTTGATTTAAAATTGAAATATTTGAATTACGTATTGAATCGGGAATAGTCAATTTCGATTTTTACAAGCAAAAATGATTTCATCGGCACCTCAGAACAAAGAACGTAGGATAGGGTTTGAAATTCATTCATTCATTCACCAGGCAATCTCCCAGTGATCTATATTCTAAAATCAACAAGGAAGATGAACCAATATTCCACTTCCTTCATTCCATGCTGGTGCCAGTGTATAGTTACTATAGTTACAAGATATATACATTGTTATCACTAGTATCTTATATAATCTCTAGACAAGACCGGGCCGATATCAGATTGACATTTTTATTTTATAGTCTTTAGTACTAGTCGAGTTACTTCCCATTTCAAGTGATAGAACTTTCCAGTTTGGAAGGCGATTTGGGAGATACATTACAACCCTGCGTTCTTAGGATGAAAACTAAAAGCGGACAATTTGTCACCTTCAATTCAGAAAACAATGCTATCTTATCAGAGAACGTCCACACAAGGTAATTGGCAAAAGCACATTTATCTCTGTAATAAACTGAAGTAATATTTAAATACTTGTAATTTTCTCGGTCAATAAGAAAAGAAAGTGTTTTAGTGTAAATAATGAGGCCATCTGGAATGACACGTAATACCTGAATGTCTTTGATGTTTCTTCCTGGCAGTGATTTTATTAGGTTCCTGGTATTTTATACCGCTAGTTATTATATTTATAGGCTAACTAGAATGATACAGGTGTGATTTACAAACTGATTGTTATACAATTGTTCTGTATTATACTACTGACAGTGATGATTTTGATAGCGACATTAACAGGAACTATGCATGTATTTACAAGTATCCAAATAATTTATTGGTAGATAGTGATACATTGTATTTGATCTGTATTGTGTAATTAAGGACATGAGAATGAGCACTGTTATATATACTGGTGGCTTAATATCTTGTCTATCTAACTAGCACCTTGGAACAATGGCAGATTTCTGAATCTGAATCCATCATAAGATATTAATGTTCCGGAAAAACTGACAAGAACCAATGTACATACTAAAATTATATAAGAAGTATTTCTAACAAACGAAGGTGTCGTCGGTCTTTATTAAGATTGGCGAATTACATTTCCTGCCCAAGATAAATACAATATATTACAGAAACCATTACATTAAAAACTACCTTACTTTTCATCAGATATATTATTGAGATATTCCCAATGAAAACAGTAACATTATCATTTTATAAATATGTTATTGTAGGTTTATTATTATTATATTTTTTAGAAGTAGTAGTATAACATTATGGTAATTTCATTGTTGAACTGTGTTTATCAATTTGGTGTAAATAGACTGGAACAATCATTAAAATAGAAAGGATGAAACGAGACAGCTGTTACTAATGAAGAGTAAAGGGATATTACCCCTTAGTTCTTTACTGAGAAATCAATGTCTATATTTAAGTATATTCAAGGGATATTTCCCCTCAGTTCTTTACTGAATAGCTATATTTGAGTATATTCAAGGGATATTTACCCTTAGTTCTTCACTGAGAAATCACCAACTAGTCGGTGTTACACCTTTAAAACGCCCTTCTAACAAACCTACTGTAAACAATATGATTAATGATAATTGTTATATTTTTTTAGAAATAATAATATCAATATTGTTTACTGCCCAGAGCGACTTGGTGTGTCTCATATTTTTAATGATATCAATAATAATACAACTTTATATATTACGTTTCGTTTTCTTCAATGGGCACTTCACTCATTCAAATAGCATACTGTCGCAGCGAACATGCATGTCGGGAGTATCTCATATAATCATTATCCAAATGAAAATGGCATGAATTGTTCTTACTATTTTTTAGTGTGAAAGAATTTATGAACTAGTTCCAAGATAACCAAGTTGAAAATATTTTCACGATGTCCGGAATGAAGAACATGGAGGCTACCTGTGAATTCAGTCGAAGAAATATGTACAAGGTATGTTTACTATTCCCGACCCCCGGTTCGATAAAACTTCACCCCTAGAGAGATAGAACCTCACCCCCACGGAGATAATGTTCTCACCAGCTGGTAGTTAATTAGAATATCATCTTTATTAATCTATTAATAACTGTATCAACACAGTGGGTGGTTCCTTGTTAATACTGGTACAGTAAAACCTCTCTAAATCAACACCCCCTCTAAACTGATACAGTAAAACCTCTCTAAACCAACATTCCCTCTAAACTGGCACAGTAAAACCTCTCTAAACCTCTCTAAACCAACATCCCCTCTAAACTAGAACAGTAAAACCTCTCTAAACCAACATTCCCTCTAAACTGGTACAGTAAAACCTCTCTAAACCAACATCCCCTCTAAACTGGCCTCTAAAATTAGAATATCCTACTCTCCTGTGTTAAAAATCTTGCGGGAGGGGTGGGGGGGTTTAATTCTTACCACTGATAGAAACATTTTAATATAAAACCTGCTCGAAAACAAACTCGTTCTTCTTATTATGAGTTTTTTTTCAATATTCAAACATTTGTTACATCCCTACCAAGGTCAAGTAAATAAATATTTGATTAAGATGAAAAAGGTGGCTTGAAAACAACAAAATAATGGATGCCAAATTGAAAGATGAGTTCACAGTTTTAGGTAGTAAGAAATTTAAAACGGTCTTTGATGTACACCTGTTTTATATTGAAGAGTTAATTTGAACAGTATTATAGAAACAGTTTGTAATAATTACAGAGTATATTTTAAAATATTTATATAATAAAGTCGTAATAAAGTCGTAATGAAGTCGTAATGAAGAGTTGGAAATGAAGTTGACGATGGTGAAAAAATGAAAACTGGCCTACATTTGAAAGAGTTTTTACCAAATAAAATACCTAAAAAAACCATAATTGGAATAGCAATATACAAAATAGTCATGTACCCTTGATCACTGGGAGAATGGATTTATTTACAATTCCTGTTCTATGTAGCCCCCCCTCCCCCCACAATTCCAGTGTTTATTAAACTGACGCAGATCATTATTATTAACAAAAACAAATATTCTTTTGAACACTGGGAGACAATGACTAAGTCTCAATTCCAATTTAACTGCTCATTAAAATTGAGTAATTTCAGGTGAAAATAGATTATAATATAATTACAATAAACATGTTTCTATCTTTATCTACAAATATCATTTTACACATTTTACAAAATTTAATCAAAAATCAGGAGAGATAGAAATAGAAACAGGAGAGATAGAAATAGAAACAGGAGAGATAGAAATAGAATCAGGAGAGATAGAAATAGAAACAGGAGAGATAGAAATAGAAACAGGAGAGATAGAAATAGAAACAGGAGAGATAGAAATAGAATCAGGAGAGATAGAAATAGAAACAGGAGAGATAGAAATAGAATCAGGAGAGATAGAAATAGAATCAGGAGAGATAGAAATAGAATCAGGAGAGATAGAAATAGAAACAGGAGAGATAGAAATAGAATCAGGAGAGATAGAAATAGAATCAGGAGAGATAGAAATAGAATCAGGAGAGATAGAAATAGAATCAGGAGAGATAGAAATAGAAACAGGAGAGATAGAAATAGAAACAGGAGAGATAGAAATAGAATCAGGAGAGATAGAAATAGAATCAGGAGAGATAGAAATAGAAACAGTTTTAATAATGTTTACATAATTAACAAAACAAACTGATTGAATACAAACTCAGTTGATGTTCTTTTATTATGGAAGTCGGCTGCAGCCATATCTACTCTCGACTTCTAGCTCACGAGTAAGCGTGGAAACTCGACTTTTTCGCCTTATTCCCACTTGCTCGCCTTTTTTCTAGCCTTTTTTTACCCTCGCTTTCTCGCCTTTCTCCTGACTTTTTAGGGTAATATGGACACAGCCGGCTTCCATTTATTGTCAATGAAGATTGTTTCATTTAGCTTCAAGGACAATAAATCGAGGCTCAGTGTGCTATATTTGGTATTTAGGTTTGACAGACTATCATAGTGTTCACATAGCTAAAATGTTTCAAGCGAACATAAATCTTATTTAAGTTAGATGTCTACTGGTCTGAACCAAGCACATGCATTTAGCTGTCAACAACCATACAGAAAGTCACGTGCTTTCTTCCAAAACTAACCTCATCTTATTGAACTCTGACTGTGGATCAGTTTTTTTGTGAGCTTGTAGGCTTTTTGACCATCGTAAAGTTGAGAACAAATAAAGATCGATTTGTTATTTCAAAAAATCCATATAACAAATGATCATTAGCTATATTACATCATACAGACCGCTTGAAGTGATTAATAAACCCTGAAGATCAGAGGAAAGTTTTAGATGTAAACAAGATTAAATTGGTCCGCGTCCAAAATAAAAACCTGATAAAAATATTGACCGGCTAGAATCGTATAAAATATTGGCACGGATTGTGTTGAACCTCCCTTGGAAACATTCAAACCAAACTGCGTAGTTAGTACAATATTTTATCACATGTACTCAGTTTTATTCTGGTATTCTGAAAAAATTGAAATCATAAACTTCGAGATGTCAAAAGTGATATTTTCATCATGGTTAAAATCTTTAACAAAATTGGAAATATGCCATGATAATAAGGTTTAATTTTTCTGCTCTATCTAATTTTAACTATTTTAAATATTTAATTATCTAACTATTCAACTGAGTGAAGACAAGTGGTCTCCAGAACTAATATCAAAATATTTTTTAAGAAATGAAACTAGAGAAATTGAAATTAGAGTAAGACACCGCATATAATTCTGTTAAAATACTCTGGCGTATAATATCACCTCTTAACAGGTTGCTTTAACATGACTCAATGAGTTACTCCATAAATCTTATTGAACATAAACCTTAGTCATTGATGGAGCCACGGTGGCAAGTTTGACCATTGGGAATATAAACTGAGGTAACAACTACGACTACCAACAACTACGACTACCAACAACTACAACTACTAACAACTACGACTACCAACAACTACGACTACCAACAACTACAACTACTAACAACTACGACTACCAACAACTACGACTACCAACAACTACAACTACTAACAACTACGACTACCAACAACTACGACTACCAACAACTACGACTACTAACAACTACGACTACCAACAACTACGACTACCAACACCTACGACTACCAACAACTACAACTACCAACAACTACGACTACTAACTACTACGACTACCAACAACTACGACTACTAACAACTACGACTACCAACAACTACGACTACTAACTACAACGACTACCAACAACTACGACTACCAACAACTACGACTACTAACAACTACGACTACTAACAACTACGACTACCAACACCTACGACTACCAACAACTACGACTGCTAACAACTACGACTACCAACAACTACGACTACTAACAACTACGACTACCAACAACTACGACTACTAACTACTACGACTACTAACAACTACGACTACTAACAACTACGACTACCAACAACTACGACTACTAACAACTATGACTACCAACACCTATGACTACCAACACCTACGACTACCAACAACTACGACTGCCAACAACTACGACTACCAACAACTACAACTGCTAACAACTACGACTACCAACAACTACCTATTTGCAATATCAGCATCCACTGAAAGCGAACTATAATTTGTCATCTACCAACAACTACGACTACCACTACCAACAACTACGACTACCACTACCAACAACTACAACTACCACTACCAACAACTACAACTACCACTACCAACAACTACCTATTTGCAATATCAGCATCCGCTGGAAGCGAAAAATAACTTAGCATCTACCAACCAAACAGAGGGATCGGATATGTGGGTAAGACGGTGCAAAACACCCACGTCCAAATAATTGCGGTCTCATTCTGTACGACAACAACAATCTTAATGTCAGTTTTAAGTTGGTCAATCCTCTAGACAATTCGGTCTGATTGAAATATCTCACGAGATCGTCTTCAAGACAATTAAATAGTCTTATATAGACTTCCTTCATTGTTCTGTCGGCCAGACTGGATAATTGTGTCTACCTACATATTGAGTAATAAACCGACTGGATAATTGTGTCTACCTACATATTGAGTAATAAGCCACCGACTGGATAATTGTCAAAAGTTACGCAAGAGGTCTGCAACATTTCACGATAATAAATGGCAGCCATAGTTTTACGGAACTATTCCAATATTGTCAGAATTATCTTCTAAAATATCTAAAACTAGGGACTATTTTCATACCGCAATATGTCGGCATATCATTCATTACCGAAACAGATTAAACTCAGTAACTGTTGGACATTGTCGAATGGGCAATATTGTGTCTACCTATATATGGATTCATAATTTAACGTACTGGTAAATTGTGCCTATCGAGATATATATCAAGAAACAGTCGAAGAGGCTGGATAATCATTTCTACCAGACTGTATCCTATTTACCCATCTATAGTAGATCATTGATGTAATTTGAGAATCGCAGACGATACAATTGTCTTATAATTGGATCAAACGACGCCATTTTAACTCTCTGGTCCAGTTAGTTCCAGAAATAGCCGAATTATCAAAGGTGACCGTGACCTTCTTCAGTCGCCATTTTGATTTTATACAAGACATTCACGAGTCTCGGCAAAATACAATCTGGAATAGGGACAGCGTGACTTAAGACATCGTATCACTTTAACGTTTAACGTTATGCCAAACTGCCCACCAATATCGCCAGATTCCTCAAGGCTACGACGAGACTTTACGAGAATTACTGCCAATAATCAATGATGTTTGAAGGAATGTCAGTCACGTGATCAATCTGATTCTGGTGGTTTGATCTATAAGATTTTGATTAATGGTGGAACTGTGAAAGGTCAATATAATTAGGTATTAAACAGATCAAAACAACCATTCCAACTTCTTCCTGGAATGAAGAATTGGAATCAGGAATCGGGAATCGGATCTTTTTAATCGCCTGTCAATCTCTATAACTTCCAATATCAGTCACTGAGTTCAACTTCTGAATACCTATACAGTGATGTTTGTTGGAATCATTGGTGGTTGGATAGAGTAGGCCACAGTCTTACAACACAAGGAAGGTATTTAAGAACTCTGTAACAAATATGAAACTGGACATCCGTAGAAATACCTCTGTATTTACACTAAACGTATAGTTATTACTTACTCAGGAACACGTATTGATAGTTTTTCAAGACGTGTAGACACATGCATACCTTCAATAAAAACTGTATATAATGTATGATAGGAATTATGGGTGTTCTTTGTTGCCTAGCAATTTATATCCAGCCATAATTGTCAGAATTCCTCGAAAATGACCACTCTGACAATTTCAGACAAAAAACATCGATTTTATAAACTGATTTCATTGATAAACATTCAATTTCCGGTCTGAACATTCTACTTCCGACTATAACACTTAACTTCCGGTTTGAGTACAAACTGAACATCAGATAAACACACTGGTAAAATAACTAATTTTAAATCAAGATTGTTTTGCTCTATCACAATATGACAGTGCTGAAATAGTCCAGTCGTCTAAAGATGACACAGCTAGGATATCTGAGTAACAACAGGTTCTATTTCAATGTTTATAAATTCATGAATATAATAATGGTAAAATAATATATATTGTATGTGACATCACACAGTGTCTATTGAAGAATAAAATTATAATCTCCAGCTTTTAAAAACATTTGACATAAAATAATTATCATCTAGACTAAACTGGTAATTCGGGACGATTTTATTACATGCACATTGACAAATGAACACGATCGCTTCCATAGACTCCAACGTTTTAGATTCTTCGGTACCCTGATAATACTCATAGATATCCTTAAAGAGATTGTAAAGAGGTTTTCTTAAATTTGTATGTGTATCGATAACAACTATAGCATCAATTTACACCATTCTAATTATCAATCAGACGTCTGTGGTTTCTGTATTTCCAATAAAACTAAGTATTACTTATCACAAAAGGCCATTCGTCATCAAACACAAAGTTTTAGTGGAATTGCAAAAACCACAGACGTCTGATTTAAAATTGGATTGGTGCATTTTGATACTTTCAGTGTCCCCCGATACACAATTTAAAAAAAACAAAAACTCTTTACAATCCCTTTAAGAAGCATAACTACCAGAATCTTGTTCAAGATAGAAGAATTTTTCTTACCGTGTTTGTTTATGTGATACTATCGAATGATAAAAAACATTTTCCGAGTTGGATCTGATGGTTGGTATTTGATCATCTATCACCCATGTTTCCACCATAGAACCTTTACTTCCAAATGATACCCTAAAATAGAAGACAAGAAAACAATATTAGCTTTGGTTATACAATTAGTTAGGCATATATATGTTGTACCCTCAACTATTGACAGAACTTACAGGGAAGGAATTGAGAATTTATCAGAAAATCAGTTAGTTTGTCTTAGTCAATATTTTAATATTCACCAGAGAGACATAAAACTTGGTAGTTAACAACACCAAACGTCTAGAATGTCATTTTTACCGGACTTATGCCTGTATTTTTCTATAATATTAACAGAAAGATTTTTACAGTGTAAGTCTACGATCTGAAGAATTTTATGGTAAAAAATCAGTATTTATAATAAGGTTCGTCTTAGTCAATATTTTAATATTCACCAGAGAGACATAAA